GTGCATGCAGCACTTCATTATGCAACTATCATGAATAGAAATCCTCTGTCCTGAAATGGGAGTTATTAAGCTTTAATTTAGTGGCCACAAATGTATCAGCAGTTTGGAGATGTTCATGCTCTTAAACATGATGGTAAAAATGTATCAGCCTGGCTGTGGAATTTTTGGGTGGATTTTTCGCCCTTAATAAAGGTGTGTAAGAAGAACATGGGGAAATTGAAGGATGCCCATGACTACAGCTCAGCAGCTGAAGCAGAGCAGTCAAGCTTAACTCTGTGCAGGTGAGGAGGATGTGAGCCTTAATGCCTTCTGCTCCATGGAAACAGCCTTCCATCACCTTGAAGGCTGAAGCATTGGTGGTGGGAGAGGGAGAATGTCATGGAAACAGCTCTGCTTCTCTAAGGAAGTGCACTGCTGTTTCTTTTGCCTTTACTCCTAGGTATGTGCAGTGGGTCATCCCACAGCAGTAACTAAACATTTTGTTTCAGCTGTGGGAGAGAAATCTGTCCCTGAAGACACTCACTTGTGTCTTTTCTTGTCTGTTTTTAATTTCCTTGATGCAGTGACATACACACTAATCCTTGCCATTTAGGATCAGGGCTACACTATACCCCAATTAACAGAGTTTTAGTGCTGGACATATTTTGGGGCCAACATCTCCTGCATTTTAAAAGCAGTATTTTAGAGCATGCCCATTAGTAAAGGTTGGGTTTGTGTGCTTTAACTAATGAGAATTCTATGCCTTCTTTGTTTTAGGAAGTGTGGTCCTCATGAAGATGTTTTTTCATGCCTATCATGCCTCCAGGCTGCAGTCTTGCTGGCGTGGAACCAGGAGAGATAGCACACTTTGTTTCCTGCTAGTTCTGCTCAGCCTTGGGTGCTTACACCCTCTCCTCTTCAGCATTGCTCAGGGCCTGGCAATGAAGCCTTTCTGGGGCAATAACTCTCCTGGTGCACAATCAGTGCAGTTTAAGACATAAAGGTGTAAAGTGAAGCCCGTGACAGCTTGAGGGATTGTGTGGGCCTTTATCAGCCAGAACCTCTCTGAGCGCAAACACAAAAATGTTGTTGACAGACAACTTTCATAAATTGCTTTGTTGAGTGTCAGCTTCGCTTTATAGCACATTGTCACATGCCAGTGCTGACACTTATGGCAGAACTTGCTGGCACAGTATGGCATGCTTGGATGTAGCTTTTTCTGCATTTTCTTCATAGAAAAATCCTTATGGTCCAAACTGGAGCCATTTTATCAGGTTTTGTCCTTGATGCATAGGTGAGAGGGGATGTTTTGCACAGCACTTACAGCCAGAACCATGCCAACATCACAATTAAAAATGTGGGGAAGCAAAATGAATGCTTTAAATGTTCTCATATTTCTGTGACATATTTTCTGCTGCTGGATTTCTAATACTCAGAGTGTTTCATAGCAGCATCTGTTACTCAGAGAGCAAAGGTTTGCTGCAGCCTTACCAGAGTTAACAGTAGCTATGGGCCAGGTTAGATGACAATATGCTTTTTTATCATTTACTATTTTGTGCTAGGTGTTTGCCCAAAGCCATGCCATCATAGCAAGGAAATTTGTCCTGCTAGTATCACATGCAGCCAGACAAGGGTTGTGGTCACTATAACGTTAAACTGAGTCACAAAGCTTCCTAAATGGCTGCTGTATGTGTGGCTAAAGAAAGGGAAAAAAGAAACATCACTCATCAAGACTTTAACACCGAGCAAGAAGAGTGAGAAGCAATGAAGAGACTGTAGGAACTTCAAAGTAAGCAAAAAAAAATTCTCAGTGGATTCCCTTTTACCCTGAAAATTGGGAAGCAGCAGATGGATAATCAAGAAAACCCACATCTCCTCCTCAAGATAAGGCCTGGGGACAGAGCTTGCAAGGCACTTGTGTAAAAAACCCCCAGTGTATGAAGCTCTACATGTTATCTACAAGCTGTGGATCCCCTGGATTTTCCCAGGCATCTGGGGAGTGTTGGGGCACCTGGAGCCAAGCAGCTCCCAGTCAGCAGCTGGTGCAGGTGGATGCTCTGCACTGGGCTGTAAAGCCTCACTGGTTTTTGGGCTATTGTGATGTCGGGAGTCCCTGCATTACACCGTGAGCTGACTTTTGCAGCTTCCTAGAGGTCAGGGAAAAGCCCAGTATTTCCTCAGGGTTTTTATCATGGTTTATGGCATCATATGTGGCTCGTGGTTAAGAAGGGAGCAAGAAGAGCCAGCATAGTTTCAACACATGGCAGAAGACCTGCTCCAAGGTTGTGAAGACACTGGGTGAGAGCAGGAGCAATTGGCTCTCGCTGTGAGCAAACTCAGTGAGTGTCACATGAAAGTGATTAGCTCAAACATCATGGAACAAAGGAGCAGATCATTTTGACATTTAGGCCTGAATCTGGCATTTCCAGGGATTCTTGTGATGATTTGGCCAAAGACTATTAACAAGGCAAAAGCCCAATGAGGGAAGTGGTGAGTCCTACAATGATAAAATTAGCACATGGTAGAGCTGGATCTGCTGTTGCCCACAGCTTTTTGGGGCTTAGGCAAAAGATATCCTGCACATAAGGCCACATCAATTTTTAGTCTCTCATGCTGGAGCTGCTCTAGATTACATCAATGCCCTTGGCAAGCTGCCCATGGCTGGGCCCAGAAGAGGCGTGTGGTATCAAGGTGTGCTGGGGGTGCTCTGTTCTGTGCTAGGTGCTGGGCTTTCCCTCCACTAGGGCAGCTGGAAAAGCTGTGGCTGAGTGCTTAACCATGGCCTGGTGTTTGGTGATAGTTCAGGAACCTGATAGCTCAACATACTGGCCTTGAGACTCCATTTCTTTGAGTGTACACATCTACAGGGATCCTTTAATTTGGGGTGCTTTCTAGTTTGTGAGGGAGCTAAAATGTAGATAGTGAATTCCATCAGCTGGGGCTGGGTATGTGCTCCCAATCTGAACATGTGTTAGCTCCAGTGCTGTGGGGCTGGAGGGCAGCAGTAAGTCACTGACATGATGCCTGCTGTAGCTGCAGCATTGGGCAGCAGAGCCATGGCAAGAGGCTCTTTATTTCAAGGTTTCAGCTTTCCCAAAACACAAAAGGACATGCTTGAAATTCATTCCTTCATGCTGATCCTGGGAGTCTTCCATAACCTTGAGATTTTGGCTGTCTCTTTGCTTCCCGTACGCAGCCGCTCACCGAGCCCTGACGCGGCCCAGCACCTCCTCGTGTGTGGGGAGGGAGGCACAAGAGCCTTTGCAGGAGCATCACGGCCAGCCCTGGCACAGCCCTGGCACTCCCAGCAGCAGCTCTGCCAGTGTGGCTGCCAGCCAGCTGAGGCATTGGCTGGGATGCCACAGGAGCCTCCAGCATTAAGGTGGTATTTGGAATTTCACAGGTGCCTGTTATGAGTGATGCAAACGCCCACCCTGCCTGTAGCCACAAGGCTTTAGGCTGATTCCCTGTGAACCAAGAACCATTCTGCCCCCTCTCCAGGCCCTTGGGTGATTGTTTTTCCTTTTGTTTTCACCCCTCGAAGGACCTGTGCCCATGGCTGAGCAGCAAAGGTTTCCCAGGCCCCTCAGGCGGGGCAGTGCCTGTTTTTGTCACAGCAGCTCCATCAGTGCTGCTGCTGGTGCCTGCAGGCCCTGGCAGCGAAGGCGGTCAGAGACTGGAGCTGGTGTGTGTGATCTCTAACGGGGCAGCAGCCCACACTGCCCTGCTTCAGTCCCACCCCACAGCGAGGGTTCACTGCTCACCCCCTGCCCACAAGGAGAGAAAGCGCCTGACAGGGAGAGCCTTGCCAGCCCCCACTAAAGCCCTGGTTGCTGCAGGTGGGCTTAGCACTGGGCATCCCTCACCCCAGTGCCCTTCTCCTGGCCCTTCCCCATTTGGGAATTCATTACTTCTGAAGTGCTGCTCAGTATCTGCAGCCTGGCACTGCCAAGACTCATGCCCACACCCGTATCCAGGCTGCAGCAGCACCACAGGGGCCTCACACCATCACAGTGGTAAGGCTGGGGACTGGAGGGTTTGCAGCCTCTGCTTTGAACATGTGTGGTATGTGTGGAGCCAGAACATTTAGGGAGATCCCAGCTGCTGGGAGGAGATGTCCTTACCCTGGCACAACTGGACAGGCACAACCCCCCATGTTCCCCTACACCTGACCACTCCTAGGCACATCCCATCCCCACATCCCTCTTTCCACTGCTGAAATCCTGTTACCCTCTCATATAGCACATGCCTTAACATTTCCATCTGACAGCAAGGATTTCAGCAGCATTTCTTGATCTCTTTCATATTTTAAAGCAAGCAGCTATCCTTCCTGCCCTTTATCTCCTAACTCTACCCTAATAAATATGATCACTTCATCCTGTGAGACCTGAAAACCCATTTCTGAAATTCCCCTGGCAACTAATACAGTAAAACAAGCCTATAAATATAAATAATTATGATAAAAAGGCATAAAATGCCAGACTTGGGTCAAACGTACTCAGGGAGTGACATTAGCAACAAATAACTATGCAGGGTTTGAATGTAGATGGAAAAGACTGAATAAAGAGTAGCTACTTCATTGCCCATAACTGTCAGGCTCCTAATTCGGGCAGGCCATATTTTACTGATAGCAGAGCAAACACAGTCATAATGCACCCCTACCTTTCCTGCTTTGTGAAAAATCCCATCCATCCCCAGGGAAGCAAGGATGTTAAAAACAGTGGTGTGAACGTGAGGTGAAAGGATAAGACAGAAAATAACAGGATGTAATTCCCATGTGTTTGTTGCACATCATATGCTAAGTTCAATTTTCCAAAAGCTTTGTTTTATTTTTAAAGGTAACATCTTTATTATTATTATTATTAGTATTAGTATTATATTTATTAGTTGTTATTATTATTATTATTATTATGCAGAGATGAGATTTTTTTTTCCCCCTTTGATCACAGAGCAAACAGTTTGCTTTTGAAAATGTTAATGGAGTCCTGATTTAAAACATTTTTTCTTCACTTTTTTTGTGTTGTTGTTGTTGTTTTTTAAAACGTTTCAACAGGCAGGATCTGGGTTTCGATTTTCTCGTCCTACACAAAGAAAGATTCTGGAGTTCACACTCCAAGCCACTACCGGTAGGTCCTGCCTTGCTCAGTTGTCATCGTCTCAGTGTGGTTTCGCCAGGTGGGGTGGGTAGGTGGGTGGGAGGGGAGGAGTTGGAAGAAGGGAGGGTATTTGTCAGCTATGTCGAGTCTTGGTTAACAACTTTGCCTCCGTTCATGGTTGGTGTCCCTGAACTTTTCCTTGAGCGTCCTTGTTTTTCTCCAATTTCATGCAGCGATGGCTCTCTGTACATGCACACTGCAAACAGAAGAGACACCTGTTAGCAGCCCTGAAGTCACAGTCATAACCATAACAAATCATTTTGTTGTATATGATGCTGAATTCCAGCCCCATGACAAACACACACACATACCCACACTTACAAAACCTCTACTGACCCAGCAGCAGATTGTGTTACCAAGCAGGATCTGTTTACCTGCCCCTGCTGCCATTTGCTTCTGTCTCTGTATTCTTTCACAGGTAGAGAGAAACAGCAGATTAACTGCTCACAGATAAATCTTTCTAGATTTTATGTGCTTTACAGCTTTTCCATGTTATATTCATATATATAAAATAAACATTTTAGCTCACAAAACCAAGTACTGCCTTGAGATGCTGATTATCATCTAACAAAAAGTCCAAGAACGACCCAGTTCCCAGCCCTTGACCTGCAACAAAAGCCCTTTGACTTTTGTCTCAAAACTACACCTGCATGTGAGCCATGCAAGCGCTCTGGGTGTTGAGCTGTGGATCTGAAGTGGTGACTCAAGCCCATGTGGCTCCATCGGCCAAGAGCCGAGGTCTGCTCTCAGCACTTCCTATTTATTCCTCTGTAAATCAAAGCCAGCCAGCCAAGGTCAGGGCTGTGAGCAGACACATGGGATGAGTTCAGTGACAGCAAGTCAGGAGCTGTCCCAGCTGTCCGTGGTCGTCTGGCAGCACCTGAGAACAGGGTGGCTCGAGGGCACCTTCTCTCCAGACCCTGGCTAGGCAGTGTGTGTCCTACAAAATGTACTCGCTGGAGCCCAGACAGCCGGAGAAGGCAACGTCTGCCCAAGGCATGGCTCATCCCCACGTCCTGGGCAGGACAAAGCATTTATCCAACTCAGCACATGGATCAAGTCCTCACGGCTGTCCTTGTGCCATGTGAGATGTGCCAGAGCAGGGGCATGGGCTGCTCACACCAAGGACAGCAGCCCTGATGAGCTCACTGCAAATGTGGCAGGGTGCAAATGAGATTGTAAGAGTGAGGCATCTCAAGGACAGGCACAGTGGAGCTGAGAACATAAGACAGGTCCAGACTGCAAATGTCATGTCCAGATCTTTGCAAAAATTAGGAAATGAAGCAATGATTGTGTACTGCTTCATTTTGTCAAGTTGTCACATCACAAACAATGGCAGAGAGCTCCAACACAGAATAGAGCCTTATCAGGGTTTGGTTCTGGATAACCAACAAGAGCAAAACTTTAAAGGTTACTTGAAGACATGGAAAAAACTACCCCATGTATAAAAGGCAATGTAAGTGCTTGTATCAATAATCTCCCCTGATTTTCAAATAAATCCCAGCAATTAGAGGCAGGCTTAAAATGACATTATTGCTCTGTGCTTTTACTCCTGACTAGATAAACAGTTACAGCACTGTGCAACCATACAAGACAGAGATAAAGTGCAGTCAACTGTGTATTAATAGGAGGGATATTGAATTGAATATATGAGTAGTGAAAAAATATTACTTTTCTCAGAGAGTATTTTTCATGCAAGGCTTTCAAAGCAGCTTAAACACACATACACACACACACACACACACACACACACACACACACACTGGGCCTCCCAGCAAAGCTGAAAGGAAGCACTGCTCTGCAAACTGTTATTGCTACTGAAGCCATTTTCTTTCATGAAAATTAGAAAAACAAAGAAAATGAAGGAGTTGTCCCTTGGGTCTGAGCCAGGATGAGCCCTGCCAGGACTGCCCATCAGGCCCAGACAATGGATGCTGTCTGTATGCTGCAAGGAAAATGTGTAGCATGGCAGCAACAGATGGAAAAGGGCTCTCACATCCCCTCTCACCCCTGAGCTACCCCTCACACTTTGAAGAGTGTCACTCAACAACAGGGTGATGGTGAATTTGCCTGTTGTGGCAAAGTACCCAATAAGCTCCTAAAGAAAGTATGAAATGGTTAAGCTGAGGAAAACCTGTGCCCTTGTGATTTCTTACCCTGAGCTGCAGTCTTTGGATGGCACTGAGGATGTGCATCACTTCTGTGACTCACCTTATTCTCGGATATGATGTTTGCCCAGCAGAATGATGTATCTGTGCCAGTGTTGTCCCAGTGCCCCTGACATTCTGTACACAAAATTTTGTCTCGGGTGCACTGTTGCATCCTGACCTCTCAGGTCCCAAGCTGGAGCTGGAGGGACCTCCGTGAGTTCTTTCCCCAGACAGCTGCAGGTACCAAGCTCATCTCACCCACACCTATTCCCAGGAACCCATCAGGCTGGGTCAGATGCTTAACTACAAGGACTGAGCACAGGTGAACGCTGCAGCAGCACCATGGCATGCTGCCTTTCCTCAACTCCCTGCCTCTCACCACAACTTTTGGGTAAAAACCTTGAGCTGCTAACAAGGCCCACAGAGTAAAGAATATAAACCAGGCTACAGAAAGAAACAATATTTTCCCCTACAAATGAAGGAAACCCTGTACCTGGCAAGCAACTAGGGCAGGAATTACAAGCTTATCTTCCAGTCTAGTGCATGATGCTAATACTGATGTGGGGCATGGCTGGAGACTGCTCACATGGAGTTTTTGAGACAAAGCTGTCAAAGCCTCTGAAGCAGACAGGCTGTGCCAACAGCCCATGCCAGAAAATCTGTAGCAGTATAGGACAAGCATATTTTCAGTATTTAGATACACCTACAGGATCAGTGTATGCAGTACTTACAAGGCATCATGCACAAGAGATGCCTGGATATTCTCCTACTCAAGAGGCTTGTGCACATGTGCTGAGCTGTGGCCATGGCTCAGCAGGGGCTGTAAACCCCCTGCACTGTGGCACACAGGTGTGTACACCTACATCTGCACAGGCACAGGGCTTCAAGGACAGCCCAACATGTTGTGCAACACCGGCTCTTGGACTGCAGCTTGTTCCTCTTTGTACTGAGGAAGTCTGAGCGTGACTCACGCAGGGAGATGTTAGTCATGGACTGGGGAGGGGGTGTTTGCAAATGGACTGTTGAGTGCCCAGATCTTCCCAGTTTTGAAAGTACATCTTTGGGGTCCAAGACTTGCAGACTGACTAACAAGTCTCTTTGGGATCCCTCTGTCTCGGTGTGTGTGTAGACACACTTCCCTGTCACCTGCACCTAGGTAAAGCAGCAGCAGTGTGACACTCATGCCCGGATGCCTGGGAGGTCTGCTGGAGCATGCAGCACAAGGAGCTTTGGAAGGATGAGCAATTCAGCTAGAACAAGAGTTCCCTCCCTGCTTTGCCTTGCTTCTCCCACCCACCCACACCCACACACCAAGCCAAATACAGCCCTTAATGTCTGAAAACCAAGCTAATGCTGTGGAGTTTCAATCAGATAATCAGCTCCTATGCCCCAGATTCCAATCAACACATCCATATTCATGCTTTAATTGGAAAGTGCTGTTAGCTTGATCTGCTGAAGAGCTGCAGGCATTAATGGAAGGGGGTGAGCACAGTGGAGCTGTGCCCATGTCTGGTTCTCGTGGTTTTCGATTCCCTGCTCCCCTGCTCCCCAGCAGCGCCTGCCACTCACAGGCACAAGGGAACAATTTGCACAAGGAACAAACTCACCAATCAGGAAGGAGACCGAGGGCACAAGTGAGGAGGAAGGGGGTGGCAGGGACCATACTTCCAGAAGGCAAAGGTGTGGAAGGGGCTGCCTGTCACCCAGAAACAGCTCAAACTCTTCCCTACATGCTGGCACAGGATCCCACTCTCATTTCTGCTTCCCAGACATGGCACTGGCACACCACCCACACGATGACACTGTAATCACCCTGGGCATCAGAGACTGCCTGAGTTTGGGAAGCATCATTTTGTGTCCTGACCCTAGCATTTCTCACTTGGCATCACTGCAAGTTGAGGAGGTTTAGGGGATGCAACAAACTTCATTTCCTTCCTCTAGAATAAGGCAAAAAGCTTATTAAGCACATTAGATATTTTCCATCTATCCGTCTTCACTCTGTGTCTTTCCTTGCCCCAGATCCTTGCAAGTCAGGAGGAACCAAAATTTTTCTAAGCTGCCATTCAGCAGGTGGGCAGTCCTGCAGGTCACCATGTGCCCAATGGTGCCTGGCTGGATCTGGGAAGGGCTGGAAGCACATCCTCTGGCAGCAGCCCAGAGAAGGCTCCTTGCCTTGACAGGTACCACAGTTCTGGGTGTCAGTATCTGCCCGGGCAGCTGTATTTGCCAATGCTTCTGTACAGGGAATTAAGTGCCTGAGCAGCAGCACTCAGGGGCACCAGGGAGTGAGTGATTAGGCACCCTCATTTTCTGCCTCTAATTACCATGTTCTAAATCCCAGCTGATGCATTTCAGAGGCATGTGAGCTCCTGTCTATCTGGTGCTAAAATGTGAAGGATGCTGCCAGGTGGAATCACACTTTGTTCAGATAAGAAAGGCAGCACAGGATGGCAAAAAGCCTAGCAAAATCACGGTTAAAACACATCACGTTTGCCATCTAATAAGATGATCAAGAGTCTGATAGATGAGCAAGTGAGTTAGTGTGGGATAGAAAACCTACCAAAGCCTGCCCATCTGGAAGACAGACCCAAGAGAAGAGCTGTGTTAGCAAAGACTTATAAAGTGTGGAGATTTTGAGGTTTGATTTTTTAAGAATACTTTTTAGGATGTTGGGAAAGTGACATTTTTCATGGGCAGGTAGTAATAGGACAAGGGAGAATATTTTTAAACTAAAAAAGGAGCGATTTAGGTTAGAAGAAATTCTTCTCTGCAAGAGCAGTGAGGCACTTGCACAGGTTACCCAGAGAAGCTGTAGATGCCCTGTCCCTGGAAGTGTCCAAGGCAAGGCTGGATGAGGTCCTGAACAGCCTGATCCAGAGAGGGTGGCACCCCTCCCCATGGGCAGGGGGTTGGGACTAGATGTTCTTTAAGGTCCCTTCCAACTCTAGACTTCCTATTACTCTATGCATTAAGGTGTTACCTTTGAAGCATTTTCATGAGGCCTACTGCATTTTCCTAGTCAACAGTGTCTTGTACTTCTTTACAACGTCTGAGCACTCTGCCTTAACAAAACTTGGATGTTATTTCCCTGAGGAATGACACCAGGAAAGACCTGGCTGCTTGGATACTCATCAGTGGTAATAAATGGATCCAGACTTGCCATTAACAGGTCAGCTTTGTATCTGAGACATGTTCATATCATGAGGGCTGAAGTGCCATAAATTCAGAGTTAGGGGCTGCTCTGCTGACTTAGATGGAGGAAGTTTTCTGCTTCTGTGACCAGATTCGCCACCCTAAATGTTTTCTAGTTTGGGCCAGGAGAGAGAAAAAACGTAAGCCTGGGAGAGTTACATTTGGAAATTATGTCCTCAAGGACAAGGAAATATAAATAATAGAGCACATCCACAGTAAGCATCTGATAATATTCCTACTTAAATGACTGGAAACTTCTCACATTGTTTGAGATGGATTTGGATATTTAGAAGAACAAGAGGTACTATGGATGGAAGGGTTGTTCCAGCACTAATCATTACAGACACTTGAAGAGACTGAAACTTCTCTAAAAGATTACTTGTTGTCCAAGTGACAATTATACTCAAGCTCATTTCTTGTGCAGTCTAGTTCAATCTTGATGTCTTCCCTTTAGGGCTCATTTAGCTCGAATAATCAGTGATCAGAAATAAAAATATCAAAAGAAATGTGTTGCGTATGTGTGTTTTGAAGCAAAACTGGCACCACACAGTACATCAACTGCTGCCTACCAGGCTGTTTGCCTTGGCTTTGCCTGTGCACAGATGGGAGAGGAACTTAACGTCTCCCCTGGTGTTACTTAGGAAGTTTTTTGTGCTTTCATATTGATTAAGCTTAATCTTATTTCCAAAAACAAACAAATCCTACCTACACTAAACTAAAAAAACTCCTACCAACCAAAATCCAAAACTTTTCCAGTTGGTATCTACTGAATTTTGTACAAAATACCTCCAGCATCCTGCCAATCTACATGAGTCAAAACACTCTGTGTTTAGCACAGCAGAAAGACGAAGCTGCTAAAAGCCACAGATAACACATATTCATACACAGATACCACTGTGTATATATGCATATGTGCTCCCATGAGCACTTAGAAATTATCTGTGAGGACATTTCTTATTTATATATTAGTTTGCCGTCCACTTGCAATTTCAAGGAGACTTCTGAATTCAGAGAGCAGGATGAAGCAATGGGAACCAAATGAGCTTGGGGAGAAATCTGGGCTTTTTTCTGTTTCCCTTCCCTGTGAACGCTCTCTTCACTAAACTGCTGCACAATTTTTCTGTACATCAGAAACAACTGTGAAGTTTCATCTCAGAGATAACTGCTGTCGAGTGGTAGGTGTAGTGATTCCTAGCAATGGATGTGGCTCCTCTGCTTCCCAGGGGGAGCAGATTCCTCCTTGCACACATTCCTGTGTCAGCCATCACGTGGCAGGGCTAATGCTGGTGGTGGTACCCAGCAACAGGAAACCTGGGGGTGTGACTGTGGATGGAAGCTGCAAAGTTCCTGTGGATGGAAGCTGTGTCCTGAATAAGCAGCAAAGCCCACACACTGGGGCAAGCCACAGCATTCTGCAGAACCGACATGCAAATACAGCAGGAGAGCGCTTTGAGTATTTCCTTGGAGTCATAACAAAGAGAAGGAGCTGTTAAAACAGGGCAGGAATTGCCCCTTTTCGGTAACATCTCTGCTTGCAAGCTCTGCTCGCGGGGACTTTGATGGATGCGGTGCAGAGAAGTCACGTGGAGATGAGCGCGTTTTACTCCAACCCTCCCCGCAAGCCTCTGCTACCTACAATGAATCTCAGGCTTGGGAACAGAGTCGTCCGTCTGGAGTCACAGTCCCAGACAGCTGAATGCTTTGGGAAGCTGACACGTGCCTTGGCTTGGGAGACTGCCAGCTCTTTGATGCAGCAGCGCTCACAAAGCCTGACTGCAAAGCATGTGGAGGAGGGAAGGAGTGGAGGAGCCCTTAATTTGGCTGCCAACTTCCAAAGCGCTCACTCGCTCGGGAGGTTATGTGACAGCTGTGATTGAAGCAAGTGTGGGAGGAGGCAACTGCGGGAAAGGGAAGCTCTCGGGCTGGGCTGGGTTATTCAAAATGAAAGCCAGAGCAGCATTTGCTGAAATGAGATCTCTGCTGTGGGTCAGGCAGCTCTGTTAAGGCAATGAGGAGAGCCACAGGAATGGCCTAGTTTAATGCATGCAGAAGGAAACTATTGAGCCGTTCAGCAGACACCATGCATGCTGGATTAAGAAAGAAGTCTGGATTCAAAGGATCCCACTGATCAGTGTCAATGCCCATCCAGGCAGCAAAGAAATACCAGAAGGACGTGGAAACCCAGCTGTGAAAGCTGGTGCTTGTCAAAGACTCTTCTCATGGTCAAGGCAATAGAGAAGCTGCTGACCAACCCCATGCCTGAAGCAGGCCCTGTTCCTTAGCAGAACACGAGGGCTTAGGGTACCAAACCCACTAATGGTTCAGATAAACAAAAAAGGTTCCTGGCTGCAGAAAAGCTGCTGAAAACAAGCACAGGACAAACAGCTCCAGACCATTCTCTGCTCTTTGTTTCAGATGGCCTTTTCCTCACAACTGCCTGCCCCTGAGCTGGGAAGCTTTTTCAAAGGCCACTGCTGTGTGGAGTGAGCTGTGGCCTCCACCGCTTGTGAGTGGTACCTCTTAGGAGAGCATCAGTTCAAACCTGCTCCCACAGCCAACATGGGGTAGTGAGAGGGAGCACAGAGCAGTGCAGCCAAGGCCAGCTCCAGGCCACTGTGTCCCTGAAGGGGACAAATGGCAGGACTAAGATGGGGTCAGAAATGCATACTTAGTTTGGGGATCAAAAAGTAGAGCTTTTCCCAAGCAATAGATAAGTATTGTTCCCAGAATCAAATTAGTACCTGTTAAGTACACACTTATCACACTATCTCTCCATTTATCAGGGGCCAGCCCACAAAAAGCAAAATATCCTGTCAGGAGCCTAAGGCACACTTCAGAGAGTGTACAGGCATCAGCAGGAACTTCAACTCCATGACTTTCACTGAAGCCCCACACTGTGACGAAGACATGGCATGACAACATCCCATCTAACTTTGGACAACAACTCTACCCCCCAGTGATTAACTAGCATGTCTTTATGTATGAGGAAAAACAGATTTAAGTTATCTCAGGGTAGACATAAAAAGAACATCCACAGCTCTGCTGGTAGGACCCATTTTTCTTCTGTTACTATGAGTGGAACGTCAAAATCTAAAATCAGGTGAGATAAATCCTGTCTCTACTGACTCTATATGGGACTGGAAACCTACTGAAATACACTGGCAAAATCCTCAGAGAAGGCAACATTATGATCACTACTGCATCACATTCCTTTGGAGCTGCTGGCTGCTTTCCTTTACCAGTAATTTCTTGTGTTTCTGGGCTTTTAAATTCATTCTTTAGCGCCCCAAAGCTAAGAAACCCCTTTCAGACTAGAAGGAAAGCAGAGGAAATACTAACAGTGCAGCCCAGCTTTTATCTAAAATGCTACAAATACTTCTTCTTGCTTTCAGGTCTCAAAGCCCAATATCCCCACCCAAGAAACACCAACTGTGAAGTTGTTAACTCCCCCTACCCAAACCCCACTGAGGGAGAAAGAGGGCAGATTCCATACCTTCAATGGGTTTGGGTACAAAATGTGATGAGGGTTTGGTTTTTTTCACTCGGTTTCCCTTCATAATTTGACCTTCTTTATTGAGTCCCAGGAACCACGCTCGTCCAGATTCTTGCTGCCGGTACAGCGTGGAAGAATAAATAACGTAGTAGTTTTCAAAGACAGATTCTTTAAATTTGCACTCTGGTGTAAAAACATCCTGCAGTAAGAAAAAGAGAGAAGAAAAAGCAATGGAAGAATTAATCACTGATCTTCTGAATTAGGCATCACTGAGTGATACACAATGGTCACGCACTGCAGTTAACAACAGAAAACAACAGGCATCAGCAATGGCAGTTCCCAGCAATAACACCAATCTAGACAACTCCTGGCTGAAAGGCAAGGCTCTCCTTCCCTGGCAGAGCTATGGTCTGCAAAACAGCCTGCAGAGAACAGGCATGAAAAACATACAGGAGAATGCAGAAATTCACCAGGATTTAGACTGAAATACTAAGGAAAAGAAAGTAAAAGAGAGCTGAGAAGCAGAGATAGCCTTGCTGTTCCTGATGCCTTCCCCTGGTTTTGCTCATACTTTCCCTATGATGGGCAAATGTACAATGCTTGTTGTCTAAAATATTCAAATTCTTAGAGGCAAAGGGCAGTTTATTGAACCATTTAAGAGGATTCAAAGAAATAAGAGTATAAAAGCAAGTAAACCATTTAATTTCAAAAGCAGTGTGAGGAAATGCTGGCACAAAGCCTGGAAATCTTTCAATAAAGAGAAAGAAGTAATTTTAAATATTTGTGGCATAAGTATTTCTGCAGGTACCAAGAAGCATCTCCACACCTGCCCCAGAGCAGAGCACATATGGATGTGTCCAGGACATCCCCTGAGCCTGTGATGGCTGTGGCTGTGCCTTTGCCACTTGTGCTGGCTTTGCATGAAGTCTCCAGGACAAAACTACACTCAGCTATGGAGTAGTACTTGTTATGTCCCAGTATTCAAGGTTTTCACAACAGAGAAGCATTAAACCTCTTTTAAAAGATCTGGCTAGCCAGGGGACTCTGTGACAGCAGGTTCCCAAACCTTCAGTGAGTCATATGTGGTTGCTAGTAGGTTGGGTTTGGTTCCCAGACTTTGATATTGAGCAGAAAACTTATCCTGGCCAAACAAATTCTCCCACTAATTTTCTAAAAAATATTCTTGCAAAGAGGCTTCAAGCCACAATGAAAATTCATTTTCTAGAGCAAAACTGTTTCAGCAAAAAAATCCCTTTTTACAGGTCCCAGACAAGGCATTTCTGAGGCCTGTGAGCGAAGGCAGATCTTTCTACAGGCAAGTAATGCTCCCTCCCAAACCTTTGCCAGTCCCAAGTCTTGGGGAGCTTCTTCAGCATTGCCAATGGAAAACCCATGACCAACATCTGAGCACAGCATCTGGAGTAATGCCACGTATTTACTGCGGACCTCTTGTTTAAGAGCAAACGTTCTGAACATTCAGCAACACTCAGGAACCTGTTTCCAAGTGATCTGGGGGTTATATAAAGTGTTGCTGCTGTGACAATAAATCCAGTGTGCAACAGACCCGCAGAGACTGGCAGACTTGAAGCTACAGAAGATAAAGCACAGCAGAAAGCACAGAGCTGTGCTGCACACGTGAATTTTGCATCAATCATTAGCACCACACAGGTAAAAATACCATCAGCAAAACGAGCCTTTTTGCCTTATCTAAGGGAGTCCTTCTTGCCAGAGAAATAAATATTTTTAAAAGAGAGTGAAACAAGTTAAGAGAGATCTAGATGACTTAGAGCACTATAAAATGGTGTTTGAAGTAGCTTCCCAAAAGAACAGTGTTTAAGCATTCCTTAAATCTGCCCTTTATCTCCAGGCTTTGTCTTGCCTGGGAAGGCACAGCTCACCTGGGAGCTGGGTTTGCAGGAGCTGCCTCTGAACTGCTGGCTCAGGGGCACTCCCTGGCACCAGGCCCAGCCAGGCAGCAGCTCTCAAACCAAACTGGACAACTCAATCCCCTTTCCAATGCCTTCATTACCCCATCAGTAAAAACTTATCACGGAAATTCCCTTTAGAGGGGCTAAAAAGTTGGCAGGCTGTGAAAGATAACTCCCAACTTGACCTAAACATGGAACTAAGGCTATTTCCAATGAAGAAATATAAAATCTAATGACTTTTGAGAACGTAGTTTCACAAAGAAAAAAAAAATATTTTAATTAAAAGTTATTGCAAATTAAGTTTTCAGCTCAATATCTGTTTTAAAATTACTGCAGTATAATATTTTATGACATGCAGCAGCAGTTCATAAAACAGATGCTGTATTGTATACCCACTTGTACCAATAAACCAACAAATTTCTTATATTATTTTAAAGCAAATGCATGTAAAGACATCAAAGTAATGAAGATTTTAAAACATAAAGAAAAAAATCTATTGATTTCCTTTAAATGTTTACAGTCCCCCACAAGCAAACAAAAGCATCCCATTTGTTGTGTGAGTTGGCTGGTTGATTCCTCATCTCCCATGGTTCAGTTGAAACAGCACTTGAGGTTATGAACCATGGCAACACTGCTATGAAACACCCCAGCTCTGTCCATTCAGCAGCTTAGAAAACCCACAGATCTAACAGCTAAGTTCTAGTTAAATAATACTGGGTTTATCCACTATTACCCTTCTTCCTATGTACATCATCTCACCAGCAACAACTGTGCCATGTGGAGACAGACACCGACGGGACACTGCTCATCCTGCCACCAAACTGACACGTCCCAGGGTCCTGACAGGTCTGAGCAGCAGTAATCTCTGTGGGCACTACCCTGGGCTTGACACAAAGAGCAGGAGGATGAAGAAGGAGCCAGATGACCAGACAGAAGACAGGGCAGAGGAGCAGGACACAGCCCACTCTCCCAAGCACTGCCTGAGGATTTTTAGAATGTCCTGTAAATCTCATTAACATGCAAACCCTTATGTTTTTCTTCACTGGTGTCTCCTTGTGCCCCATGGCCAGCCTTCAGCTACACTGCATCATTTAGTTTCATCAGACGCCTTTTGCTGTCAGTTTTGGGGCTACCAATAAAAAAAGGCTATTGGGATATTAATGGCAGAACCTCTCTACAAGCTCCACTGTCAAAATTAATTGTGCAATTATGCTGAATCAGGTGGGAACTGCTGTTTCAGTTGTCTTAGGCTGAGATGAGCTGGGAAGAAAGACAGAAGTGCAGGTGAACAATACAGGCTTCACAATAACAAAGCAGTTTGTAGCAGCCACTGCTGCACAGACAGAAATCTGAGTTATCTGAGACAGTTATTTGAGATAACAAAAGGTATTTTTAAAAAAATCATTGGTCTATTGACCAGACCTCTAGGGCATGCACAATTTGGGGTTTTTTTTATTTGTTTGGTTTTGTTTATAAGATAAATTCACTGTTGATGAAATGTGCTATGTGGGCAGACCTGGAGTCCAATACTTTCTCTTCATCTCAGATAAAGAGTGGGTAAACACAGCAAAGGGATCCTCAGGCTGTGCCCCCCTGTGCTTCTGACAGGACATAAGGACATCCTGCCCCAGAGGTAATGCTATGGTAAAGCCCTGGGGTCATGAGCACCACTTCACTTCCCCACTTGCTGCAGGGACCTTTGGAAACAGGGTTATAACGAGTCCCACTCAATTATTTTTCCAGCTCTCTCCTCGACTGAAATAGCATGACCAGGTACAAGACAGTGAGAGGACAGATGGCTTCTATCTTTTAATCACCTGTCTTTTTTCAGTCTTTAAACAAAGAAATAAACAGTGACTCTATTTTCTGCATGAAGTCCACAGAGGTCCCCTGGCAGGACTGTCATGAACTCAGCTCATTCAGAAAGCCCACCAGCTCTTCTCATTAAAGAATATACTTGTGATTTGTAGAAAAGAAAGATTCTCTCAATTTAACTCAATGTGAAACATGTCTTTGACTGAATAATTTTTGCATAGAAAGTAAATAAATACATTTATTTGTTTACCATTTGGAGATTTAGAGCCTGAGGTATTTTGTTAAGTGTCTACAGATATTACTGAAAGCGGCTTGGAAAAGCAGTTCTTTTTTTAATTGTTAAACTAAAAACCTGCATGAAATATTTGCAAAAGAAACATTAGTAGTTTACATGCAAAATGATTAGCGTCTGCTTGCAACTTGTTTTTTACATCTCAATCCAGTCCCTTGAACAAAAGACAATTGTATTAAGAAAAGTAATTAGATTTGTTTTGAAAAAACAAACATAGGTCTGGTTTGTGCTAACTGTAGTTTTACTGGAAATTTCACAGCCTAAAAAAAAGTCAAATTAACACAGTAGCTAGCTATGACACAGAAAAAAAAGGGGATCACATTCAATGACACTTGGAACCAACAGGAGCTAAATGGATGTATCTGCCATCAGGGGGGATTCAGTGTGTCACACCTGCTCATGGAGGGTATAAGGTACCACAGATTGCCCCAGAAGTTATTTCTGGATTAGAAAACCAAGATGCTTCACTTATCCTTCATCCCAGTAGTGTCTCCTGCCATCTGCAGTTGGAAATGTGGATGTGACTTCCAGGCACAAGCCAACCTCTGCATCACTAGAGCTCGTTTGTTCTTCTGGGTTGGGAATGTCTGGGCCCATCCATCCCCCACTACAGCACAGACTGGCAGTGGTTTGTGAGAGGGCAGATTTTTTTCTAATTCACCTCAGCTTTCACCTGGTCTGGTCAGGTAGACCTAAACCAACCTCTTTGAACACCGTAAGTTTGACTGGGCTCTCCTTTGCATTTCTGTAAAGCTGGGCAAGTTCCACAGACCTTGGTGCAAAGGCACTGCTGTCAAACCTGTGGGCACAAAGCTGCAGGGCATTCAGCGCTGCACTGACACCCTCAGAGACCTCAGCTCCTCCAAAAAATGTCAACCCAACAGTGCTGTAGCCCTGATGCAACCACAGTGCTGCCAGGGCAGTGGACAGCCCTGGTGCTGCTCAAGAGAACAGCGCCAGTCCCTGCCACACCAGCCTGGGAGCATCCCTGCCACTGAGCATCCTCAGCCAGAAGCTGCAAAAAAAGGGGTCCCAAGTAAACAACAGCATGGTGCTTCTGGTTTCTGATGATGAGAGCCAGCAATCTGCTCCCCAGAAGCCCCTGGTGTCCCCAGATCATGGCAGAAATGGTGACAGGTTTCCATTTGCAATGCTCAGGGAAAG